ACGATTGCCGTCTCTCCCACAGAGATTGAGCTCTTTTTATTGACCCACAAATGTGTGGCAGAGGTGGCAGTGGTTGGCGTCAAACACGAGACACAGAGTCAATGGGTTAGGGCTTATGTCAAAGTGATAGATGGGATGTCTGTTACCGAAGAGGAGCTCAAACAATATGTCGCAGGTTTGCCATCAAATTAATGGCATTAATTAAATTTGTAATAATATAATTGAATGAACAGATAATTTGAATGAAGCAAAACAATTGAGAGCCGGCGTTGTGTTTGTGGATCACATCCCGCGGACAACAATCAGAAAAGTCGATCGAAGATATTTCAAACAATTGATTGCCAATGAATTGATTAAAAGTCAATGAAATAATTCATACATTAAATTACAACAAATTATTGTAAATTATTTTTATACTGCTATTGAATGGCTATTTTTATCAAATAACTTAAACATTTAAAAACAATAAACATTAAAATTTTATTAAAGTTTTATAGCATTTCATTTCTATAGTATTAAAAGTATTAAAAAGATTATCACTTTTTTAAACGACAATTAATCCAACGTTTTTATAGAATTCTCTATAGATTTTAAGTCTTTCTTTTGATTCTGTGAATACAAAAATAAACTACAATTCATTGAAATATAATGTAATAAATGTATACTCGATGTAAGATGAATGACAAATATGTTGAATATATAAGAGAAGAGGAGGCGACGAACACATATCTAAAACGTGGATCAATATAACGATAGTTTATCACTTGAAACGGTATATATAAGAAGCCATCGAAAGCTAAGATGAAAATGAGATTTTGTTGGATGTTTTGCCAGATGTCGTCCGCAGGTCTCCCTTCAGTCGCCCCAACAATAACTGTACAAAAGAATGCGAGCGGAGGGCAAGTGATGGCATCGATTAACAGCTTATACTTAATGATAGACAGCGAACGGCCCCTATATTTGCGGTCAATAAAGGTGTAGATGTTGTGACCACAGGCGCCGTAAAACAGACCCCCGGTTCCCATCGCAACTGTTATGCAAAATATGTTAACAAAATTGTGAAATTATGTTCAATACGTACTCAAACGGCGGTAACTAAAGGGTTGGCTCGGGTTTTGACGGATCTCTAGATTCTGGGAAATAATGTCTCCGATTGTATGAAAAGTAAATCCAATCGATATGTTGGTAAAGAAGAGGTACTTTCGGGAAAACAATTTTTCAACCGTTTTATTCATATCTGTATTTGTTGTCTAATTATTATTTAAACGATTTTTAAAAACGCGCCTGTATCTATTATAATAATTTTTAAATATTTTTCATATTATTAAAATAACTTATTTTTAAAATATACTTTATAGGGCAAAGCATACTAATTCATGTACTAATTTGTATTTATTATTAATAACATGAAAACTTTTATTAAATATGATAAATGTAGGCATTTTACTGATTTTTTATAAACTGTTTATTCATATAATTTATAAATTTCAAACACAGATATTTTTTTCATAATATCAATAATTTTTCATATTATTAAATAGATTTTAGTTACAATACACTAAAAATTAATGTAATAAAATTAAATATTGCAGTATCAAAATTTGTATTATTGGATTCTATTTACATTATCTAATAAAGTTTTATAACAATTTATAGTTTAGTACCGTTATAAATTATAACTTATAATATTAACTGTGCCACAATCAGTATCCTTCAATCATTACTATCCCAATGTTTTTAAAATCATAAGCCATTTATATAACGTTATTTTAATGTCATTATAATCCCCTGTCCATTATTATCCCTCATTATCAAAACCGTATATTAAAACGGCACTCAACAGTAGTTCTTAATGTTTATTTGTTTATTATGATACGAAAGTATCGAGTGATCCCTAAATGTACTCCGAATTCAGTATAAATGATATGATTATATCAATTATAATATATCTAAAGATAATATAATGTATATTTGAGAACTACTGTATTATCGGTGCATTACAGTTATGCCCAATGAACTAAATGTACTCTTTACCAAGCTTTCTACTCTCTACGGTACATCAATTTATAAATTTATATTCCACAACAGATGTAACCAAGGACATTAGTCTACTGTATAGACTTAAATTAATATGCACATTATGTAAATTACTTTCAATGCATTTGTTATAATGCACCTGTAATATTAATACTTATTAATTGATGTTATAATTGTTAAATAAATTTAAACACATCTTTGGACACAAATGTTGAGTACATCTTAATATTTTGTAATGTATTTCCTGGGAATCCCTTTACTTTATAAACAATTTCTTATCAAATCTTTAAATTAGTTTTATTATCGTTATTACGATAGTTTGTACTTTAAGTGCGTTAACATTGGCTATCATTTTACAATTGAGAGCAAATTAGTATATAAAGTCCACTTTCCGTTCAGTTTTACATTAATTACAAAAATTAATATTTTATTAACCAAAGAATATTTAGTGATATAACAATGTCTGAGAATAACATAATAAGTTTGGATAAACCGTTTGATGAGATTCCCAACATATCGATGGGTGAACTCATTTCAAAAGCTTTGAACAAATTGGACGAGGAGTTTGTGTGTGCGGTAAGTGATCGTCATTTTTACATACAGTATAATTATTATAAATTTCTAAATTATATTAATTATTGTTTACAATGAAACACATAGTTTGACGCAAACACTGGCAAAACACTGACAGCGAAAGAGTTGATAGAGAAAAGCACAGCAATTGCTATGGCGTTGATTGAGAGGGGAATTAATAAAACAGATTTGATTTTAACGTTTGCCGAAAACTCGATTGAATTGACTGTTGTTTTGTTTGCGTCCGTATTATTAGGAGTAACCATATATCCCATCACTTCTATAGCAAAAGCATACGAATTGGAGAAATTGTTTGAAACATTGGATTCAATAGTTGTGTTCACATCGGAATCAAAGTCAAACATTATAAGCAAAATACTCACAAATACCGCATTGAAAGCAAACGTAAAGTCTATTTTTGTGGTGAACGGAGTCTTTGACAATAATATAACATTCAATGAATTACTCAAAGAAGGATTTAATAAAAGTTTGCCTCAAATCCCGTACTTTGCGGTCGAAGACCCCAAGAATACTATATTCGCTATCCTTCAGAGTTCGGGCACCACTGGTGTCCCCAAATCCACACTCATCTCTCACTATGCATTTGTGGCACAATTGTATTCAATGATTAACTCTGGCATGAATTTTGATGAGTTTGATGAGAGGCTTAAGTTTGGACACATCACTCCTATCGGTTGTATTACTGGCTTAACATTTCTTTACGGATACATCTGTTGCGGGGTTTCTGTTGTAATGTTTAAGGAATATAACGAAGAATTCTGGCGAACTGTTTAAACACTAGCGTCAAAATACTGATAGCCTTGACTGAACCTAAACTTGCATAGTTGGTTAAACACAACTTATTTTATATTAATACTCATTTTATTGATATATAATCATTACTCTATCCAAGTTTAGGGCCAGTCAAGGCTATCAGTATTTTGACGCTAGTGTTTAAACAGTTCGCCAGCGATAATTTAGATGTTATTTTCATTCAATAAGTTATGACTAATGGTTTTAAATTGCAATCATTAGATCGACGCAAACAGTGACACAAAACTTACGTTTAAAGAGTTGATTACGAAATCAAACGCATTGGCGATGGCTTTAATTGAGAGGGAAATCAGTAAATCAGACATTATTCTGACATTTGCTGAAAACTCGATTGAATTGGCAATTGTTATAATGGCTTCTGTATTGTTGGGCACAACTCTATACCCAATTAGTCCCATCGCTAACGTCTATGAATTGGAGAAGTTATTTGAAACACTGGACTCATTGGTTGTTTTCACCTCACAATCCAAGTCTAATGCAATGAAAACCATTTTAAATAATCACAAATCAAAAGCGGCTGTAAAATCGGTATTTATGGTGAACGGAGTGTTTGATAATTATATCACTTTCGATGAACTGCTCAAAGAGGGTCACAACAAATGTTTACCACAAATACCATACTTTGCTGTCAAAGACCCTCGAAATGAGACATTTGTTATCCTTCAGAGTTCGGGAACTACTGGTGTCCCGAAATCACAGCTAATATCCAACTATTCAGTTGTTGCATATTTACACGCTATGAAGAGCGACATTGAATCCGATTTTCACAAAAACAATATCGACGGACAGCCTGTGTTCGGTCACATCACACCATTTGGTTGCGTATCCGGCATCTCATCCCTATTGGGATACATATTCTGTGGATTCTCTGTCGTTATATTCAGAGAGTATAGCGAAGAGTTAATCTTAAAGTCTATTGAGAAATATCACGTTCACATCCTATTCATTACACCAGCTTTTGGATCGGCACTAATATTAGGACCGTTTGCCGGTAAATATGATTTGTCGAGTCTGAAAGTCATAATTAGCTCAGGCGCTGCTTTTACCGAGAGTGTTGGCAAAGCTATTGTCAATAAATATGATGTATTACTTCAAGAAAGTAAGTTTTTGTATAGTTTTTAAATACAAATTTTAATTAATTTGATAAATTGAATTGATTTAGTTTACGGAATGACAGAAGGTGGAATCATAACTCAAATGCCATATTTTAATAATGGTGATGAGTATATGGCCGGCAATTTGGGTCAACCCAATAATAATGTGGAGATTAAAATTAGAGACACCGACAGCGGCGAGAGTCTCGGCCCCGGTTTGGGCGGCGAAATCTGCGTTCGTGGGCCGATGCTCTTCAAGGGGTATCTCAATAATCCTTTGGCCACAAGTGAGGCCATAGATAGCGAGGGATGGCTTCGGACGGGAGATATCGGTCATTATGACCAACAAAAACGCTTATTCATAACCGATAGACTCAAAGAACTCATTAAATACGAAACGATTGCCGTCTCTCCCACAGAGATTGAGCTCTTTTTATTGACCCACAAAT